ATCCGAAGACGCGCGGCCAGCCGGGAGGAGGGCAGGCGGCGGGGAGGGACGAGATCGCGATAGCGGGCCTCGAGCGGGCGCATGTCGAGCAGTTCGAGGCGCTCGGGTTCGAGCGGAGTAAAGTCGTACGTCTGTGATCCTACCGCGTTCTCTTTCATCTAACGTAAAGTCCGTAGATTGACGTGCTTCGTCGATTGAACTACCGCGGGGCGAACGTCGCCAAGATCAACGACGATAGGGTGGTCGAGGAGTTGCTGAAGTGATTCCCCGCTCTCATCGTCGAACCCCTGCCCCTTGCATGAGCTGTATTTTTCAGCTTCCCCACCACTGTTGTATTCCTGCTAGTCCATTTTCACGACTGTAAGATGGGTTGTTGTACGACAATCGACGATCAATGCATCCGATAGATATCGGTCGACCTTGGCTCTGACTTTGAGGCTTGAACCAGACACAGGTAGGGTACTCTATAAGTGTTGAATCACTCCTTGATGCACTACATATAGTACGTCAACTCGCTGGAGAGGAGGCGAGCGTATACCTCCGCTGTGTCACATGCCTGTCACTTGCTATCTAACCATATACTACTCATCACCCTTGTGCCTGATGGCCGCGTCTCATACACGCCTAGGTTGTCCTCAGCCTCTCCCGACGCCTCCGTCCGTCGAGCTTGTCGCAGTTTCATCGGGCTGAACAAGGCCGAACGGGACTTCCAGGATGCAGTACGGGGGCGGCTCCAGTCAGGGTGGTTATAGGCAGAGGCCTCAAGGATACGGCGGACCGAGTCAGCAGCCGCAAAGCCCGCATAGTCCACAAGGATACGACAATCCGCCGTATCCGAATCAGCAACAGCCTCAGCAAGCGTACAGCACGGGCTACAGGCCGACGTCGTTCGACGATCCGTCTGGGGTCCCTGGAGGCGAGGCGTACTGGGGCCTGTGAGTCCAATCATCCAATGCGTATACCAAACCAAACCGGTATTGGCGTGGTGAAGGCGGGAACTGATTGCGGCTTGTATGCGCAGATTGATGGACAACGGGAGGCCGACCGAATTGATGATACGCCTGTGCGACTCGCTGTTCATGTTCATCGACCGAAACTGCTCCCAGGCCGAGCTGCGGGGGACACAACGCCTCGAGCCCGCGAAGTACATGTGGCTCATGACCGCCCTCGGCGCCCCGCCCGGCACCGTACGCCCCCTCCTCATATCGCTACCTGCCACTCCCCCCTCTAACGCATCCACTTATTCACATTCCTATAGGCGGAGGCGGTGTGCATCTCCCTCCAGTCCTTCTACGACATGGCCGCCGTCCCGTACCAGTTCGTGCCCGTGCCCGGGTCGTCCGGCTCCCCGGTGCCCGTGCTCGACGCGCGCGGGTTCCTGCATATGGCCGTCTTCGAGGCGCGCGCGGACCCGGACGCGTCCCACCGGCACTTCCAGAAAGCGCTCAACGTGTTCGGCCTCGTCGACCCCGCCACGAACGCGCGGTTCCCCGCGCCGATACCGCGGAGCGCGTTCCCGTATATGCCCGAGTGGCAGCTGAAGAACGCGTATACGGCGTGGCAGACGCAGGCGATTATCGCGAGCAGTGGGGCGAGGAGCAATGCGATGGTGGCGGGTATGCTGGGTGGGGGTAGGTTTGGTGGCTTTGGGTCGGGTATGGGCATGGGCATGGGCATGGGCATGGGCATAGGTTCGGGCTTTGGGGCGTACGGGGCGGGTAACAGCCGTGAGTTGCAGCTGTTGTTATACCTTCGGATGACTGACGGATGGGACAGAGGTGATGCAGATGCTGCAGACGCAGCAGGCGGAGGCGAAGAAGCGCGCGAGCTACGCCAAGCTGGCGAGCGGCGTGGTGAGCCTTTTAGGAGGTGGAGGTGTGGGCGGCTTGGGAGGCGGGTTAGGAGGCTTTGGTAGTTGAAAGAGGCGGGCGTTGCTGCATAGATGATCTTTCGGTTTGGCTCCAGGGTTTGGATGGTATCTACTCAATGCATTGATTGTGGAAAGTATGTAGTGTGTGTGTACTAGTATCCCGACTTTGTCTGCTTTCAGTGCTGGCTAGCCGATTGCGATCTCTATGCCCCTATCTCATGGTGGGCACTGACCGCCCGACCAGCTCCGTCCTCACCTCGTCCTGAGCCCGACCTATTTTTGTGCACTCGTATACGAGTATAGGATGACGCTTTCGTCCGCAAAGTCGCGAAACGCAGGGAAAAATGACGAAAACACGAGATAGAAACGGGATAGAAGGCGATCAACACAAGGATCAACGCGCGACCATGATGACCATCTGCTTCGTCCATGGAAACCGCGCACTGCTCTCGCGCCGGCACCGCACCTTCGACCGTATCAGAACGACTCGTTCATATGCTCCGTCTTTGCAGCAGATGGCGGGGAAGCCGCCCCCGTTCTTGCCGTGTCAGATCACCGGGCCTACCGACCAGCCCTCATTGCCCCGAGATGTGAGGGACGGCCGAGCGTATCATTACTCCTTCTCCGCTGTTACCCTTCCTCCTCTCGCGGTAGGACTGCTACTCCTTCCGTGCTCACTGGACAACAACCATGGGCGATGGCTACGGCGACGAAGACGGACGCATCGCGCGCTTGCTGGCGGACGTGCTGGACGCCGCGCTGGCTATCCGCAAGTTGGCGTCCAGGCCGGGTGCGAAGCAGAGCGCGTATGAGTGTATGGGTCTCGCGGGGCACGTCGGGGAGATCGTCGCGTGGGCGGAGGAAAAGAGGGGCTGGCGCGCGCCCGCGGACGTCGTAGAGAGCTTGAGGCGACTGTGGAGGTTAGTTCAAACGCCGTTTCGCTCTCGCTCTCTCGCGTACAGGCTTGTCCGGCTGACGTTTTGTTGTCACTTTTCGTGTAGGTTGTATGCGGGTCTTGGGATGCTGATCAAGACGTTGGCGGACGGGACGATGCTGAAGCGCGTGTTGTGGAAGGAGACGGTCAGCCGACGGATAGCGGCCGCGAGCGGCGCTCTGGGCGAGTTCTCGGTGACGTTCGACGTGAGTTTGGCACGCGGAAGCAGTTTTCGGTTTTGACGCGTGTATGCTAAATGCCTCAAATCTCCTCCGCTAGTTGGCGTCGCAGCAAGATCTGCAACGGGTCGACGCAGAGACGAAGAGGGCGAGGGAGATGGACACGCAGATGTTCGAGGCGATGCTCCGGTCGGTTTTGGAGAACGACAACGAGATATTGCGCGTGAGTTGTCTGTGATATGCAATCATCTGACTGGCCTCGCTGGCTTAACACGACTCTCCCCCGTTGACTTTACAGACTCTCGGCGTGGAACCCGTCATGTTTCACAGTGCGACGCTCAGCATTGAGAAGGTGCGGCGTGACTCCTCCCCTGTATACGCGTTTCTGGCTCATCTCTTGTTTTCATACTACCTGCAATAGCGATTATCGCAATTGGCTAATGAAGACTCCGTCGAGCGACGGCTGCTGAGCCGTGCGCTCGAGCACATATACCGCGCGCAGTCTCGGACTCCGTCTCGGACCCCGCCCGACGGCTTCTTCCTGAGCGCGCTGGACGTCATCGTCGATTCCACCGCGAAGCTCGGCCCACACCTCTTCGGAGGGAGCTTTTACGATGCGGCGGTCTGCGTCCGCGCGCTCCCTCGTGGGATCCCGCGACCGGTACGTCCGAGATGGCATGTTCTTTCAATTTTCAGCGCTCACGCGGTTCGCGCAGGTTATCGAGGAATGCGTTGGACAATGGAGGTCGCTCGAGCACGATAACGTCGTGTCGTACATGGGCGCCTGTCTGTCGGACGATACACCGTGCGTGGTGTACGAGCGGTCGCCGACCTGGAACGCGTCGCGGTACCTGGAACAGCATCCGGAGGCGGATAGGGTCAAGCTCGTATGTTCCATCACCTCGTCCTTGCCCGCGCGGGACCCTGTCACTGACCTGTCGCTAACTCAACCAGTTGCACGATATGTCGTTAGGCCTCGTATGCTTACACTCCAAAGACGTGGTCCATGGCGACCTCCGGGCGGTACGTCTTCCCTCTGCCATACTCAGTGTAATGTGCAAAGAGCTGATATGGTCGCGCAGGACAACGTGATCGTCTCTGCCGATCAGAAGGCCGCTTTGGTGGGATACGGACTGAAACAGCTCGACGCGCCTACAGAGGGCGTACAGAGTGTCCCGGACAAATACAGCGACGTGTACGATTTCGGTCTGACCATTGTGGAGGTGAGATCCATTCTATCATTTTCCATCCTTCTGATAGCGACCAACTGAGCTCCTGTTTTCCACCCTGGCAGGTCTTCAAGGGATCGCGCCCGTCGAAGGGAACGGAGCCCGCAGCGCTTATTCGGAACATCGGTGAACGCGATCCGACCGTGGCCGTGTCTGGTGTGGAAGACGCGCTCTGCGCGCTCGTCGCGGATTGCTGCGCGCCGGATCCGGTGCATCGCCCGCTGGCGGCGAACGTCGCGGCGCGGCTCGGGTGGATGTGCCTCATGCGCAAGGGATCGTCACGGTCGGAGGAGGAGGGGGAGAAGGAGAAGGAGGCGCAGGCGGGCAGTCTGTCCGGGTCGATGTCGGCCGGGTCGAGGACGTCCCTGTCGTCGTCGTCATCCTCGAGCGTGTTGTTGGCGTACGCGACTTCGTCGTCCTCGGACGATGGGGAACCCGTTCCGCCCCCGCCTCCCGAGGTTCGAGTTGCCCCCCAGCAAATGCTTCCGGAACCCCAACCCCAACCGCAGCCGGACCAGCAACAGCGACCGGACCAGCAATTGCGACAGCCTGGGCGCGCCTCACAAGTGAGCGCCCTGTCGGACTTTACGGAAGTGATGACCCTGTCTCGCGCCCTACCCACCGCGCCGCACTACTATTACTACCCTCCCCAACTCCCACCCCCACCCGTGCGTCCCGCGATGTCATCAGCGCGGTCGATCGCGCCCTCCGTCGCGACGAGCAGGAGCGGGAGTCACGCCGCCGGTAGAGGAAAAACGCCGCGCGCGAAGACGTACGAGTCGACCGCGCCGCTCGCCATCGCGCTCATGGACTCGCTCTCGCCGGCGCCCCCGCCCCGCACGCGGCAGCGGAAGGACAGCGCGCCCGCCCGTGTTAACGCGCAGGAGGCCAGGGCCGCGCCGCCGCTGCAGATACAGATCCTCCAGCAGCACTACGCGTGGGCGGATCCCGGTTCTGTCCCCGGGTCGGCGAGCACGGTGCGCGCGCCTATGTCGACGGTCCGCCAGACGTTGGATCCGGAGCCGGGACCGAAGCGGCCGTCGCTGCCCGCGACGCCGTCGAGGGTGGTGTGGAAGGTCGCGTCGTCGTCGTCGGAGACGTCGTCGAGCCCGCTGGAGGAAAGCCCGCCTCCGCAGTCTGGGCTCGTCAACGCCGAGAGCGAAGCGTATGTGCCTCCTCCTCCTCCTCCGCCGCCTTCGCGTCCTGCGCGGCCTGAAAGGAGGTACACCACCGGTCGGGATCGGGAGGAGGACGAAATGCGGGCATGGGCCAAGGCGGCGTTGGTCAAGAGGCATTACCGCACGCTGCGCGAACCGGATCCGCTGCCTCCGGGCGGATGGGGCAGCGTGCCGAGGTTTGGGGAGGGCGTGCTGGTGTTTACGCAGAATCGGTGATTCGGATATATGGATAAACACCTCCTTCGAGATTTCGTTACTTTCCCCGCGTTCCTGACTTGACCTTATCGTTGCACAATCTTACACTCATTTGCATCTGCTTTTGCACCCTGTATGGTCTCGTTTACTTATCCTCGTTATCACAACACTCCCTTGTATGCTCGTGTCGATGTTTTATATACCAGTAGTCCTTGATCTAGAATCTATAGCATCCGCAGTGCCTTGCTCTCGCCGCGGCTCATCTGACCTGCGCAACAAGCTGTTCACATCGAATTCTATTGCGCTGTCCTTCCTCGTGCTCAGCGCGCAGTCCGGCGGTAACGCAGGCATCGCCCCCGAGTACGCGGTATAGCCCCGACCACCAGCTGGGGATGGAGATATAAATAGCCATGGTATAACTCGATCAAAGCCCCCTGAGCTACATCCGGTCTACCCTCTCAACCCTTGTCCGTATCATCAACAACATCAACATGGGTCTCTTTGGCGAAATCGAGGGACTGCTCTCGAACCATCAGGGCCAGCAGGTTCACCAGGAGATCTACACGCAGCAGTATGTGCCCGAGCAGCACCAGGGTTCGTGGACGCACGAAGGTGACCGCATGCAATTCGATCGTGTTAATCCGGCCGTCGCTCATCATCGCGGGGGGGGGGTACTTTAGCGATCGCGGGCGCTGCTGGTTTCGAGGCCATGAAGGCGTACGAGAACCACCTTCGCGAGACCGGGCAGCAGCCTAGGTACGTTCGGCGTCTCTACCTTACCCCAGATCTCGTTCGCGACGGTTTGGCGGGCCCGATCTGATTGGCACGACGCCTTTTTTCTTTTTATTTTTCACGACAGCCATGCACTGATGAAGGAGCTCCTGGCCGGGTTCGCTGCGGCCGAGGTCGACAAGCTCGTCGAGACGAAGGGGTTGGATTACATCGATCGCGAGAAGGCGAAGCGCCACGCCGTCGCGCAGGCTCATCAGGTGCGAGACGCTCTCAATAACCCCTCCTTTTCTTTCTTTTTTTTCTTCTTCGCATTCCGGCGCAGGGGCTGACCACTCCGATGGGATCGCTGCTCTGCTTAGATGGCTGCCGAGCGCTATGGGGAGGGCAGCAACGGGTACGAGTGGACGCAGCAGCACGCGGGAGGATGGAACTCGAACCCGGGCGGTCCGCACTATAACGAATCGTACGGCGGCTATCCCGGGTTCGGAGGCTACCAGGGCGGTGGTGGTCAGTATGGGGGTGGATATGGAGGACCTCCGGGCGGTGGATACGGCGGTCCCCCGGGCGGTGGATACGGCGGTCCCCCGGGCGGTGGATACGGCGGTCCTCCGGGCGGTGGATACGGCGGTCCCCCGGGCGGTGGATACGGCGGTCCTCCAGGTGGTGGATACGGCGGCGGATACGGCGGCCCTCCCGGTGAAGGGTACGGCGGCCAGGGATACGGCGGTGGTCCCGGCGGCGGTGACTTTCGTTCGTCTTTTTGAAAGATGTGCGCAGGTGCTCATTGCGAGTAGGCTACGGAGGTCCTCCCCAGGGCCAGTACGGCGAGGGCGAGCACCACCACCGCCACCATCGCCAGGAGGGGTGGTGAGGTCGCTTTGCACTGCTGGGAATGATATATAACGGAGACCGGAATGGGGTCGATTGAGCGTCGATTGATGGTGTATGTACGATGGAGCTTAGCCTTGATACCACGAAACCCAGCGACTCGGTGTTGAATATTTCTGTGATTTGGACGACGGAACGAACGAGAGCGCGCAGAGCTGCGGGCTCGAGCATGCCAGCTTCCGCGCGCCTTGCGTCATGCCTTGACCGCGTCTCTCGACACGCCTTGGCTACTCGCACCTGGTATTCGTCGATATCATCAAGTCCAGGGAAAACTCTGGTTCAGGGACGTCGTGTACGCCTTCGTGGTGACTACTCGGTCTCAGTCGTTGGCCGGAAGGCCACGCGCGGCGCGCTTTTTGTCTTTAGTCCTCGCAGTGACGCAGTCCTTCCACCTAGGCCTGAGCAAGGTCTAGACTTTCCGCAAACTGCACGAGTCGTTCGTCTCTACATCCTACTCGGGTCCGGTCTCCGTTATATGCCTGCGTCGCAGAGGAGTCGTCACGGTGCGAACGGCACTCCTGTCCTCTCGAAAGACACGCTCTCTTTTGTTTCGCCTCATCTCGGTCGGTTCCGATAGGGTTCGGAACTCGGGTCCTGCGCTTGAAGGGTGATCTGCGTGCGTCGTCGTGGCCCCGATGCGGAAGGCGCCGACCGACGAGTGGCCGGACGCGCGAAATCGAACATAATAAGGCCAGGCACGCCGACCATGACCACCCCCCTCCTGGCCGCTAGCTTTGGCAACAGGCAATCGCGGATCCGAGACACTTATTGTCTACCTGCACCTGCGAACAATGGGCCAGCGATTCCCCTCCCTTCGTCTCGGTCTTTGAGGGTATAAAAGACGCAGGTTGTTGCAGGGATGGGTTCGTTCAAGCGATTTCCAGCTTGCTCGCGCCCACAAAGCCCTCTCTCTTCTACAAACACCTAACCACCACCACCCCCTCTCAACCAGCAATGGACTCGTTCGCCGTCGCTTTCTTCACCGCCACCGCTTCCGCGCCTTTCGAGCAGGCGGAGTCTACCCCGTTCGAGGGCGAGGGCGAGGACAAGCTCCCCGTCGAGTACGACGGCAAGGGCAGCTCCGGCTCGTGCGTCATCGCTTAAGCGGTCAGTGAGCCGAACCGTACCTGCGTTTTTTTTCGCGTCCTTCGTCTGACTGATGTCGTTTTATGAGCAGACGCGCACCCGGAAAACCACCCGGTTTGTGAAGACGCTCGTCGGTCATTCGTTGCGCGGCCAAACCGACGGCATCGTCACTCGCCCGCCCATCCACCACAAGAACCCGTTTAGCAATGCAACGCCACACGCCACCTCTTTTCGACTTTCTTCTTTCTCGTGTGAATGGAGCAGGGGAGATTGGATTGCACGCGCAGTAACTTATCATATTTATCGTTCACCCTTTTTTTTTCGCCTTTCGCCCTTTCGTTCGACGACGCATACACCGTTAGTCGTATACGTGACAAGACTGTATCATTATCTACCGCTGTTGTAAAACCACCTGTTCTTTTATTAACACCATATCCCTCCCCCGGGCGAATATAAAACTGAGAAACACATACTTTATCGGGGTGGTTCAGCAGAACAGCTTCTGTTTGACTCTCGTGCGGGTCGACGTCACTGAGCCTGTTTGTTTATTCACTCCCTGGCTCCATCTCCTCCCCTCCACCTCGTCTCCCTGTACTGCTGTCCAGGACCACCTCGAGGCTCGCGTCCCGACGTCGTATCGCAGAGAAATCAGGGACGATCACGAGCCTGAACGTGAAGGCGCGCCCCCTCCGGGAGACCGAACGCGCTGATCGCAGGCTCCCCGCCCCCATCAACAAGCAGGCAACGCCTCCGCCCAGTTCACGCGCAGCACGCAGCCTCTTCGCCAACGCTCACAGCAACCCTCGCGCACTCCGCCCGGTCCTCTACAGCTTCCCCGGACGACCCTCCGGAGCTCCCACTGCGCTCGCTCAGCAAGCAGCGAGGCTGTGTTTCACCCGCGGCTTGCTATAACCCTCGACGTCCGAACAGGATAGACGCCGCAGCCATCGATTGTACGACGACGACCCGACGCGCGCCATGTCGCACTATCCTCCTCCGGTGCGTTTTTTCCATCTCCCCCCGAATCCGTAGGAGGGGACCCGTATCTGAACGCACGCGCGACGTCGTAAACAGGCCGACGAGGCCCAACGCGGGCGCTACAACGACGGCTACAACCCGTACGCGGCCCCCGCTCCATACGACACCAACCCGCACGACGCCTACAACCCGCACGAACCCCAGGCGCCGTACCAGCCCGGGCTCTCCAACCCCTTCGCGACCCCCAACGTGCCCGACCCGCGTCTCTCAGGCTACCACTCCCCTCCCCCGCCGCAACAGCTGCACGACCCGTACGGCGCCGCCCCGCCGCCGATGCCGATGCCGCACTCGCCCCCGCCCGGCGCCGCCGACTACCTCAGCGCGCACCCGGCCGCCGCGTACTACCCCCCGCCGCTCTCGGGCCCCACGCCTCCGCCGCCGAGCATCTCGCCCTACGGCATGGGCTACGACCTCCACGACGACCCGCACGAGCACGAGCACGCGGACGAGGACGGGGGCGATATCCCGCTCCTGCGCCGCCCCGGATCGGTGTCGAGCGCCGGCGCGGGGCGCGTCCCCGGCGCGTTCGACGAGGACCGGCCGATCGTGGGCGACGACCGGTCGGAGAATAATATACGGTATGGACGGATCCCGCAGAGGGTGCCGAGGCGGTACAAGACGATCAAGAAGGTCGAGTGCGTATCTCATCCCTCCGTTCATCCCCTGCCCCCCTGACCCCCTCTCCTCGTTTCCCTACCTGCTACTGTTCAGAGAGAGAGAGTGTGTGTGTGTGTGAGCTGACGAACGCGGCGCAGGCTGTTCCACGGCAACTTCGTGCTCGACTCGGCGGTGCCGACCAAGCTGCTGAACATGTGCGCGCTCCGGAACGAGCGCGAGTTCACGCACATGCGCTACTCGGCCGCGACGTGCGACCCGAACGACTTCAAGGACTCGGGCTTCACGCTTCGGCAGGTGCACTACGACCCGCCGCGGCGGACGGAGCTGTTTATCGTGATGACGATGTACAACGAGGACGAGGAGCTCTTCTGCAGGACGATGCACGGCGTGATCAAGAACGTGGCGCACTTGTGTAAGAGGGAGAGGAGCAAGACGTGGGGCAAGGAGGGGTGGAAGAAGGTCGTGGTGTGCGTCGTGAGCGACGGACGGCAGAAGATCAATAGTCGGACGTTGAGCGTGATAGCCGCGATGGGCGCGTACCAGGACGGGATCGCCAAGGTCCGTTCGTCTCCGTTCGTCTCCTCCATAGCCGCGAAGACCTGACCCCCCCCCCCCCCCCCCCCCCCCCCCCCCCA